AACAGTTCAAAGTCACTAGTTTATATAACATAACATTGATACACCTGAATTGTTTAGCTTGTTTCTTTAATGTCAAAGGAGTTGCATTAAGTGCTTTGGCTTAATGGAATTATCTTCCTGTTTTTTAAATAGGAAAACTTTTAGATAAATAATATTTTTGTTATAACTTATATGTAATTGGGTTGAATTGATTTCATTAAGTTTGAAATTCATAAACTCGTTACTAAACCCAATTTTTAGTTGGATCAATCCGAGTTATTGACCTAATTAATTAATCCCTCATTGATGATCATAATCCTAATTAGCTCATCCCTAAATTTGTCTACATACATAACATTCCTGAATCTCTTTTCTGCATTTAACTTGTTGAATGTGAAAACACATAGATTTGTAACCTTCACTTTCTTTCTTTCTTTGGCTGCTTGCAGATTCTGTCAAATAATCACCTCCTTTTTCAGCCATTTTATGATCTTAAACATTTAGAACTGCAAACTGGTTTCAACAAAAGTAATGTTCCGGGATTGACATGTCTATTCAAGAGCTCTCCCACTCTCAACACTTTGATTCTCAAGATCATCCATGAATATAAGATTGAAAGAAAGGTAAGCTACACTAACATTTACTGTTATTTCAAGCTTGATTATGCACCATACACTTCATCAGAGTTTGTTTTAAGTTAAAAACTGTATCTCTCTGATATAAAAAAAACTACAGTTCATGAGAGTTTGATTATCGTTTTCATCCGATTCAGGAAAGTTTGATTATCGTTTTCATCCAATTCAGGAATGGAATAGAGACTTGTGGGACATGACTATCACTGAGGGAGAACAGTATTGGGAGTCTCAGATCAGAACTCTGGAGTCTTTTCTACAACATTTGAAAGTGGTAAAAATTCATGGATTTCTTGATTACGAGAATGAAGTTGCACTTGCAAAGTTTCTCCTTAAGCATGGAAAATCCTTGGAAGAAATGGTATTACACACAGGACATTGCAATGCAAGAGACACTCTTAGGCGACAAAAGATAAGGTCACAAATGGTGGGATTTTCTTGGGCTTCTTCTAATGCAAAAGTGGCGTTTCAGTAGGTCACCTACCATGTTCTCAAGAAAAATCTTTACCCTTAGTTCAAAAAAACAAAACAAAAGAACAACTTTATTTTTCAATAATAAAATATTTACTGGGGATCTGTTGTTTATTCATCTTGTATATTCAAATGAAATTTATGTCATTTATTATTTATTTAAACAATAGAGGTTAACTTGCTTTATATACATAAGTTCTTTCTTTTTGTGATAAAATGTACTTCGTATTTTTACATTAAGCTATTTCTCTTCAAAAGGATAAAACTTCAGAGCATTAAAATAGTTATTGTGAATAGCTAGATTAAACTCTAAAAAAATAGATTTTCTGCTTCGCTAAGACTATGACTAGAGTTTTGTTTTTCTTTTTTTTTATCTCTTTCATTAATCATGATCTATTTATATGTAATAAATGAATACAAATTTCATATAGTTAGGAGTGAAGGCATATGAATTCCTTTAATTATGATATTTATGTCTGAAAAATTAATGATTAAAGTAAGATATAATATTATTCAATTGGCTTGCCAATTATAATATCATTTAGTTCTCTTTCAGAATGAATGGTTTGATAACACTCTTGGAACTAAGGTAGAAAATAAGTATAAAATCATTCAAGTAAAGTAATAATATATATAATAAAACATAGATTCATTTACATTTGTATATAAGTAAAGCAAGTTTATTACACCAAATATCCGAAGGGACACCAAAATTGGTTGATAGTAATTAAGACAAAATCTCATAATAGAATTATTGATAACACAATAAGTCAAGTTGAGTATAAGATTCTATATCAATATGATGATCTTATAAAGTTTAAGCTTAAGTAGTAATATATGTTAATCTANTCATTCAAGTAAAGTAATAATATATATAATAAAACATAGATTCATTTACATTTGTATATAAGTAAAGCAAGTTTATTACACCAAATATCCGAAGGGACACCAAAATTGGTTGAGAGTAATTAAGACAAAATCTCATAATAGAATTATTGATAACACAATAAGTCAAGTTGAGTATAAGATTCTATATCAATATGATGATCTTATAAAGTTTAAGCTTAAGTAGTAATATATGTTAATCTAGATTTCGTTTGTGATTCTCTTGCCAATGTTGATGGTGCGGGAGAAGAAATAAGTATACAATTACGATATCCTCTAAACAGAGCAATGACACCAACAAATGTATTGGTTCAAGTTATATCCATAAGGTATCAATTAATCTTTATAAAAAAACTATAACTCTATCTGGATTTGTGATTTTAAACAGATTGATTGTAAATAACAATGGATATCTAAAAGCTCGAGATTGGATAACTCAGTAAAATCAAACGTATTGAGATTAGATTTTGTTACCCTATTCTTACGCATGGTTACTGTTTTATTAAATTACCAAGGTTCATTCATTATTTCTGGAAGTAAACTAATGTAATCCTAGATCCATATATGTAGCCTAAGACTTAAAGTATTCAAGCTCAATGCGATTTTTTCACTCTCGATGAATGAACCTTTGCATTAATGATCAAGACTCTATCAATACAACGAAAATTAAATCACTAACATATGAAAGACCACTTAAGTAAAACAGTAAAACAATACCGATAGAGAAGTTCAGAGAGTTATATCCAATCCCAACACTAGGAAATTCATCAACTCATAATGATTGTATTAATATTTGATCCTTGGAGTTGTTGCCTTTCCCCATGTCTCTTATAATATAGGAAATCTTACAAGTGCAAGTGCAAGAGAAGTCATAGACAAAAGTCTAAGAATCTGGATTTCTAAAATAGAGGGTCTGTTATGTTTTTATAAAAGTTATGATCTTACCTATAGCTCCAAACATGGTGGTCAACTTGTGAGTTTTCTCTCCATGGAGAGTTTCCTTATAGCTTAGTAGGTGAGCTTCCTCTATGTTTAAGCTCCATAACATAGGGCTTCAAATTACTTCATGGTGAAGTTTTCCTCACATGGCTTTAGCATTAACTTCTGTTCTTAAATGAAAAATTTTGAATTATCTTGAAACCGCCTTTTAGCGCTCAAGCTATGCTTCTAGCGCTCAAGTTGCTTAACTCTGTTTTATTCTAACTGCTGTAATTTATACAAAAAATGCATTACATCTCCACACATGTTTATATACAAATTCTTTAAATGAATTTTAAGTGAAAGAGAGGGAAATATCAAGTTTATGCAAGATAATTAAACAGATAGGTACCAAAACGTATGTGAATTATAAGTAAAATAGGTACTTATAAATTACTAAATCAAACAAACATAGATGAAGAACAAGAGGAGAAGTTCATAGGGGTGACATTAATACCAATTTAGATGACACACAAATAAATCTTTGGTAACTCGTGCATTAAAATTTATTGTATACCTTGTGTTAATTATGTTTTACATTAATATGATTGTGATATGTAATAATTATAATGAATGAGGGGTAAGATAACTGACACATTTGGGCTTTGGGCTTAGAAAATACAATCAAGTTTTAGCAAATAGATCCTTTCAATTACAAATGTTCTTCCTCAAGTTCTTCTCATATGTGTTTCAAGAGATAGTCCTCTATCATACCCTTCTTCTGGAAAAGAATTTGTACTCAAACCCGTACCACTTGAAGATTATTTATCATATGTCAACTGAGAAGGACTGCTTCTATTTCTTTAGCCATCCTACTTCTCGTGGACACCATAAACACTTTCTTCGCAAAATAGCAGTCAGCCTCACGGTGGATGCCAATTGTTCTTACAAAGACAAAAATGTACCCTATAAAAACTTCCAAAGAATCTCCAAACACTTTCAACCTTCAACCTTCAAAGTACTCGTCCTTCTCCAGAGTGCTCGTTCTTCTTAAGACAAAGGGGGTTGTGTCTGTAGAAAACATTCCAACGCTCAAGTAGCCTCTCAAGTCAACAAATAATAAATGCGTAATATGTTCATTATACTTACTAATTATGGGCTTTCACTTGGATAAGTCTGAACCTATTGGCCCAAATATTCATTGGCTTCTGAATCATTATAGTTAATGATGAACCATGGTGATTAAATATCTTGTGTGATATTTTATTAGCCGAATAAGGATGGGTAGAGTACATGTCGATTTAGTACTCCAACTTGTACTCGTCCAAGGATGAGTCTAATATTGGTGTGGTCGAGAGGTACTCAGTCATATATAGTACTACATTAGTGTTAATAAAGTTCAGATATTTTTTCACTGCATTTGAACGATATGGCTGGTTGTTGTATCTTGGGATAGAAGCACATAATATTTTATTTTGCATTATGCAATGGGATGCTTTCTCTCTAAGGAAAATACTCTTTGTTCCTCAACCCAAACTCTTTTCATTTACCATTTTATCTTATATTCTTATTTTTGTTATAAAAATTGTTTCTTTATTAATATTTATTTCTATATTACTATTTTTATTTTATTATTATGATTATTTATTATTATTATTATAATAATAATTATTATTATTTATATTACACTAGTAAAAAAATTGCTTTCTAACGTGCCCTATAGGCATCGGTTTTACGAAAACTGAAGCAGATGAAAATGTGGTGGCATTTTTACAATTTAAGTGACCTTATATGCCTCGATTCAAGAGGATCTGAGGCATAAAGTGTATATTACCTCAATTAATATAAGAGCCGATGTATAAGGTATCGAATTTTCCCACTAAATCATGTGAAAAACATCTACGACATCGGTTGTCCTTGGACTTAAGGCAGTAGGGCCTTTGCAAGTTTGAACGAAGCTTTTATGCTTCGGTTTTGTGTTCACCCAGGGCGTATAGTTCTTGTTTAGGCATCGGGTCAGGTGAATAACAGGGGCAGTATGGTTTGATTACCTCGGTTAAGATATAACCAAAGCAATATTGCTTTTATATTTTCACAATTAACCCTACGCGCACTATGTTTCTTCGTTCTTCGGTTATCGTCGCTGCATCCAAAAGCTTCGCTGCGTCTAGCTTTCTTCTTCCTCTGCATCTCCACGATTGCTATCACTGCTTGTCGCACCTCCCCCTTCGCTACTCGTCGCGCCTCCATGGCAGCGCTCGTCCTGTCTCTGTCGCGTTTGTGACCGCCTCCTTTGTTCCTCCCTTGTTCGTTCATAGTAGTTTGTACCTCCGTCGCAGTCTTACCTTCGTTGTGTCGCGTTCTCCACCACTGCTCCCCTCCCTTGCTTATGTTAAGCAAATCGACGTTGTTCCACCTGTTCAATCTGCGAAGAAGCCTGCCCAGCCTAAGGAATCGAAACCCAAACCTAAGGATGAGCCGAAGAAAGTGGCTAAGCCAGAGCCAAGGAAGCCCAAAGAAGAGGCAGAAGAGGAGGCACCCAAGCCCAAACCCAAAAATCCCCTTGATCTTCTTCCTCCAAGCAAGATGATATTGGATGAGTGGAAAAGACTCTACTCAAACATCAAGACCAACTTCCGCGAGGTTGCAATCAAAAGTATTATGATGGATTTTTGTTTTTTAATTTGGTCGTTGCTAGGAGGTTGTATGTCACGTGTTTTTGAAAGCTCTTTGCTTTCTTCATCATGATTTGTTACTATTATTTAGCGAATAGTGTCTAAGTCAGCTGATATGAGATGGTAGATATCTTATCAAGTTAAATCCTCCTTGTGAACTCGTAGGATTTTGGGACATGTATGATCCAGAGGGTTATTCTCTCTGGTTCTGTGATTACAAATACAACGACGAGAACATTGTTTCCTTTGTGACATTAAACAAGGTAGGTGGTTTTCTTCAGCGGATGGATCTAGCTCGCAAGTATGCTTTTGGAAATATGCTTGTAATTGGATCGCAAGCACCATTTAAGGTGAAGGGGTTGTTGCTTTTCCGCGGGCAAGAGATTCCACAATTTGTGATTGACGAGTGTTATGATATGGAGCTGTACGAGTGGACCAAGGTTGACATCTCTAACGAAACTCAGAAAGAGCAGGTGAATTAGATGATTTAGGATTATGAACCATTTGAGGGAGAGCCTCTTCTCGATGCTAAGTGCTTCAAGTGAAAATTATTCCATAGTCTTTAAGAGCTTATGATTTTGTTGCGTCTTTTGGAAAGAGTTGGCTTCTATCTTATTTCTGTTATAGTGAGTTCTTAGCTATTTTGGTTCACTTGTTTCCCCTGACTATGTATTCAATTCAAATCGGCCTCTTTTCTTTCCTGTAGTTGCTCGGCTCAATGGTGACAACACATTGTACCTGTCTAGTCCCATTGATAAAGAGGTGGGTGGTATTATTTTGGGGGCAAATGTCATGATTGAGATAACTGGCCTTGCTGACATAAAGTCATCATTGAACTTACACACTACTCCCACCCATTCTCTCTCTTTCCTATATAATCTCAACCCACACGGACCACTTTCCACTCCTCCACAACTCCCCTGCTTTTCATCATCATCATCATCCCCTTCTTACTCTCTTTCTCTCAACTGCACCTCAATCTCACTCCCTCGTTACCCAACTTCTTCAGCGGCTAAAATTTATAAAGATAGAGATGATGGTTCAAAAGGAAGATTTGTGTTTGAGTCTAAGCCTCAACTCCCTTGTTACCCACCTTCTTCCAATCTATTTGATTTCTCCTCTTTTTCCACACTCCTTTTCCTTTTCCTATTTTATACGCTCTTCCGTTTCACGTTGTAGGCCCGCATCGATCAGTGGATTGATTTTTCAACTTTGGAGATTGATTCTAATAATCCTTAAATCATGTCGTCAATGAAACTAAAAAAGAGACATACTGCCTCGGTTCCCGATTTAGAGGGAATGAGGCATAAAATCCCGCAAAAAAAAAATAAAAAATGAAAATTCTATTGCATCAGTTTCTTTTGAACCGAGACAAAATCCTCCACCGTTTTCCCTCGGTTCACAACCGAGGCATAAAGTTGTGAACTTTTTTCCTCGCCTATATATGCCTCGGTTCAAAAACCACTACTTGTGGGTGAAAATAACCGATGTCGTTTTTCCTGACTACACTAATGTTATTTATATTTGATTATTTTTTCTAACAATAGTATATTAACTATTCACATAAAAATGTTTATACTTTTTTTATATCGTAAGTTAGATTGCAAATTGATTTGAGAACTTGTTTCCATATATTTATTAAGATTTTCAGTGTTCCAATATAAGAAATTTTCCTTAAACCCTTTGCTTTTCCAATTAAAATGCACTGTCAAGCCGGAAGAACTTAGCTGGCAACCATATATAATTGATGTCAAACCAAATTATTCCCTTTTCCCCTTAAAGAGAAAGAAAAGAAAATAGAGAAAGAAAAAGACTTGAGAAATAAGTGAAAGAGGTTCGTTGATTAAATGAGTGAAAATAACTTTTTTAATTTCCACTAATTAATCACTATTAATAATAATTGTAATTATTATTATTATAATGAAAGGAGGAAAAAACAACACTCCTAATAATATATACAAGCCATTTATGATCGATTATAGGATGTTATATTAATCTTAAAAAAATTGTTAAATCTAATCTTAGCACCATGATTATACAAAAGCTAGACTCATCCCAGTTCCTGATACAGCTCCATTGCAAACAAACCCTAAGTAAACCTATATTCTTATATGCACTGAACTTTGCCATTCGACCGTGATAGTACGTTACAAGCACTAAGTACAAGCAATAGTGGCAGGTTTGTCAAAGTATACTTTGCCTTTCCAATAATAAATCAGAATTTAGAATATATATATATATAGGGATCGACTGGATGAGGCCACCAAGAAGTGACTAGGTCGATGTCTGGCATCCAGATAAGTTGCGTACTAACCACACAGTCATGAGAGATGACAGATCGAACGGACGGTCTCCGACGATAGTCATCCCTAAGCATAATTCCTAATCAAAATTACTTGTAAACGTTACTTAGTAGGTAATGGATCAAGATTGGGTCGTGATTAAGATTTCACTAATCTCAAACTTATATCGAAACATATAAGTAAATGTCAAAGTAAAAATGTAAGTGATTGAATTTATTGCAAAATTAAGATTTTACTTTGATCTCAAATGAATTAATCGCTAACTTGAAGATTAGAGTGTCTTTGACAGGTACACCTGGACATTTGAGAGTTCGAGTGTACAAACAAGATATTTACCAAAAATATTCAAAAATACCTAAACGACCTTAGAGTACAAGTAGAAGGAGTTTGTAAAGAATCCTTGAACCTACACCCGTAACAAAAAAAAAAAAAATATATATATATATATATATATATATATATATATATAATTATACGCATAGAAAATGGGTTAATCCCTAAAATTATTTAAAGTTAAATCTCAATGTTGAAATTAAATCTTAATGTTGAAATTTAGGGCCCAGTTTGTCTCAAAAGTAAGATTGATGGCATATTGATGTTGGAATTTTTTAGTGGAATAGAACGTGGAGATCTGACTCTTTTTTATACGAGTTACATTTAAGAAATTTTCACAATATTTTTAATATGAAACTTTAAAATTTTAAAATTTAATATTTTTTAAACTTTTTTATATATTATGTTTTTTTTAATATAAAACTTTCAATTTGTAATTGAATTCTTAACCATCTCTCTCACAAGTGTGAATGAGATTTTTCTACGAATTTCTACTATAATAGAAAATACTTGTGACATTCATTTACTTCAACACATTTCAATTAATCTCTTAATTGTAATTAGATCTTATTATTATAACACATACTTATTTTCTCCTAAAAGAATACTAGAAACCCCTAACAAATCCTTTTTATTTTTCTCTTTGCAATTGTGAAATATATATGAGATGCCTTTTTATCTATCAATAAGGCAAATGCATAGTAATTTTGAAAGGATAGATAATGAGGAACTGCTTTTAGAAAATAATGGTTTGGATGCAGACGCATGGAAATAAAATTATTTGGTGCATGCATGATGGCAGATATTGGGAAAAAAGGTGCAGACAATGGAAGAAAGAATTGACCCTACATGGCAAAACCAAATTGTTGTCCTACTTCATCCATCTACATCTACTGTTACTGTGCCATTGCATTAATCAATTCCCTGATATTTGGAAGTGAATATTCAACTATAATTCCACTTCTTTTCTGCCTTTCTAGTTTCATCTCATCATTTTGTTTAAAGACAAGCACACAAAATATGAAAAGACCAGAGCCACATATAATAGCTTTGACACCGAGAATGATCATGTGAAGGGATCAGTAATAGTTTTAAACTCTTTTAAACATCTGTTCATGGATGGAGAACTCCAACACAGAAACTAACATTTCTTTCACTATAATTCTAATATCTCTTTTTAATAACTTTCATTATTTTTTATTTTATTCGACTTAATTTCAATATTAATAAAAATATTCAGGGTAAATCTTATTTTATAAATTAGTTTTGTAAAATTAAGTTAAATTTAAAATCAGTCTATTCGTATATAATAAAATTATATCACATTATATTATACTTTTAAAGATTGAAAAAATTAATTTAACCTTACAAATGTTATAGTTTTACATTCTACAAATTGATAGAGTTGATAGTCATTTTATTAATAAAAGGACTAGATTGAATAAAATAAATTAATTACAGATAAAAATTAATTAAGTGAAGAAATTATTTCTTTATATGAAAAAACTATTTCTTTATGTAAATAAATTTGGAAAATGTAATTGAATTCACCAAAGTTCCATTACAATGAAGAAAAATTCACCTTACTTGTTATCCATTATTCCTATATGAACGTAAATTGTTAAATGATATCAATTGTCTTGTGAAATTGATAAAGATATAGTTACATATAATATAAATTATTTTTTGGCGGATCAAATTCATATGGATTGATTTATTTATTGGATGATTGTGATTTGCATAACTTGAAATCTATTAGTCAGACCACAAATTTTACTTTTCTTCTTAATCGTCTTCATTCTTATTGGACAAGCTTCTTAGTTAAATTTCTAGAAACAAATGATTTAACATTGTTATAAGGTTATTCAAATTAATTTATAACCAAATTAAAAATAAAATTAAAATATTAAATTATTTTATATAAATCAACTCATAAAATATTTTTTTATAAATAAACTTTGTTATAAGGTTATATCAAATTAATTTATAAAATAATTAACTTATATTTTTCTAAAAGAATTTATAAAAAAATTGTCCAAACATAATTTAAATCAGAACTTCTTGTACATTGCTCGTAAGAAGAACGATGGCATGGACGGACTAGTAGAGTTGTTATATTGTTATGAACATTTGAAATTTTCTAGAATAAAGCACCATTTAAAATAATCATATATTCCTCATTAATGTGAGACTTGCTTTCATATTGCTATTTCAGCATAATGATACTAATACTTTGGAGTAAGCTCAACTGAAAGATATGATAGTAATTTTTAAATATAAAGATGATCAAATAAAGTTTATATCTCTTAATTAATATAAAGTTTCATTTATAAATTGGTAATCAAATCCCTTTTATGACATTTAGTACAATAAATATTACTTCAGTAATGTTATATTTTTTTATTTTAAAAAAGTTATATATAATCTTATTATTTAATTTTATTAATGATTAAAATAATTAAATACGTGTTTATTATTTAAAATAATAATTATATGGACTTTATTAGCAGTGATAATATTTATTATTTGACATGACAGGTGACTTTATAGACTTGATTAATATATACACAAAGTAATTTTTGTCAAGTTGATACGAAACGGAAGGAGAGTCCTTGAATGAAAGATCATAAACTAGATTAGATAGAAAGAAACTTGAAAGAGATACAACATTAATGGAAGAACATGGAATTTCTACGAGTTAATACAAGAAATGAAAGATAAAAGCAAATTGTCCTTGGCCTATATAAATTACTTTATTTGAAGTCAAGGGAACATGCGCCATTTCTTGTGACCAGGGACCCAGTGTGGATATTTTGTACTGAAGTAACTGGAAACTGTCTTAGAATCCAGAAGTTCAACGATGGGAGCATATTTCACACAACGAGGTGTCTTATACTGATTTATGGACGCACCCTGGCTCAGAGCAAAGTCCATAAGCTTGTCAAAGGTTCCATTCTCCACAATCTTGATTTCCAATGCTCCAATGGATTCTGATACCCTTCCTTG